GCGTCGCCCTCCATTTACATTGTATTTCATTTGTTCATGTATATAGTCAGGTGTTTACTCACTCACTACTCCTCCTCCTCCCCCGAGAAAATCACAATATTTTGGGCTTTACAAGAAGTTTAAAATGAAATAGGATAACTAATATGAAAAACAAAAAAAAATATAAAAACAATGTTCTGGAATGAATAATGTTCAAGAAAAAGTATCACTATAAAACTACAGAACTTCTCCCCTGCTTTTGCAAGTTTTCTTTGCAAAGTTATTAGAAAACTTGTAATTGGTAAATTGGTAAATGTCGTGACCAGGCAGGAGCCCTTTTCAAGATATTTCACTGGAACTTATCTTCTTGCCTATTTATTCTCAAAACAGGCATGTGCCATGCTTGCCTCTAATTTGTGAGAAAATTTGCTCAAAACAGTTTTAGTAAACTCTTTAACTAGTAAGGCTAGAGCCCTAAGCCTGTGTGGGAGTTTTCTACATAAAATGTGGAAAGGATAAAAGGTAACACTTGAAGCCTTAGTGGGCATCATGCATTTAAAAGACAGCAACAACCTGCAATATGCAGATGAAACAGCACTGCTTGCTGAAACTGAGGAGGGTCTGAAGCACTTAATGTAAAAGGTCATGTGCTTCAGGCTTAAATATGGATTGAAGCTCAACATCAGGAAAACAAAGATTCTCACCTCTGGGCCAACTGGCAAAATCATGATAAACGGTGAAGAGATCAAGAACAGCTTTAGTTTGCTTGGTTCCACAATTAGCACTCTTGGTATCAGCAGCCAGAAAATCAAAAGAGAAATTACACTGGGAAGGTCTACTGTCAGAGACCTCTCTAGAGTATTGAAGAGCAACAGTATGAGCCTGGAAACTAAGGTGTGCCTGATCCAGGCCATAGTCTTCACAATTACTTACCATACATCAGAGAGCTGGACAATGATTAGGGATGATAGAAGGAGAATTAATGCCTTTGAACTGTGGTGCTAGAGAAGAGTATTGACTATACCAGGACTGCCAGGAGAAACAAACAGGTTCATCCTAGAGAGAGTGAAAACAAGCTGTTCCTTTGTGACAAAGATTCTGAAGCTTTGTCTGACATATTTAGGCATATTGCAAGGAGGGACCAGTACTTGGAGAGGGACATCATG